GTGTAGGTTGTCTTACTCTGCTATCTTCTTTCAGTTCTTGTCCAACGTGTGATTTGTGAAGTTGCCTAATGAGCAGTAGGAGGATGGATAGTCACCAGAGTGGGTGAACTCTGTCTTTGACTCTGCCTTCTGGGTTTTAGTGGATAAGAAGAACTTCAAAGCAAGATACTGACTTTTTTCCTAACTTCCTTTTTGTGGCAAATCACTTTATGTGAACCACATCTAGGTTACAAGAAAATGAAACATTGTCTTTTGGTGAATGTCATTCTTTATTATTTTTGTTTCAAAAGTACAATGGTGGAAATAATCATGTTAGATTCAGACAGTCCAGAGACAGAAAGGTTGTAGTGTCTTCCTCCAGGTTTTTATTGGCTACTTTTATCTGAACAGAGAATGTAGGTGTTTATTGTATACTTTGATAAGATTTAAATATGGATATATTGAAAATCTGTAATCCAAATAAAGCAGTTGTAAATCAGCCTCTGAAATTGAACCATATTTGAATGATCAATTTTATCTTTTATTTTCCTTTTATTAGCATCTGTAGTACTATAAAAGGAAGGCATGTCATCACAGTTCATATACCAATGTGAATACCTAGGGATTATAATATAGGTCATCATGTCCTGTTAGCTTTGCTCTTGGTAGACTTGGGTTATACTGCGATTTATGGTGTCTGTGAATGGGAATCAAGCTGTGGGTCCATTTTTTTTTTGCTAGATTAATATTTGTTTTGAAGATTTTGAATACATGAAATATCAAACTGTAAGAATAAGTTGTTGAAGGACATAATTATATATATATATACACTTATAAATACACGTACCTCTTCATTAATATTCTCATAAGTCATTTTTCCATGATATGTAATTTTAGGGAACTCCACTGTGTCATGTAGTATGCATTTCTATACTTTTAGAATATATAATTTCCTAGTAATTTTACACTTACTAGGACAGAACTTACTTGAAAAGTATATGAAAAACAAACATTCTTGTGTTTTCCACTTAAGCAATTTCTAGAAGTTGATTTTTATTTATTATGTTCACAACTCAGAAGTTGTCTTGCTAGAATACTGCCCTCATTGTTTCAGCAATCGGAGTGGCTGACATGAACAGATTTCTGTACTTACTAGTCTTCGCCTCCTGCCTTGTCTGTTGATGTAGTCATCCTCGTTTTTGACTTTCATCTGGCATTCTTCCAGTATGTGTTCATTACCTTAAGCTCAATAAATGTTATTTTTCCCGAATATTTGAGACATCTACTATATTTATTACTTTTTTTATAACCTTTTAGGCCCCTGTATTTAATTGTTTCTTACAGTTTTGTTGATAATTTGAATATTTATGTTTAGTCATGTTTCCCAGTGTAAGTCCTTACAAATATGGGTGAGATTATTTTTTCAAAAAACTGTCTGAAGTACCTGACTGGTACATTTTTCATGTCTTGAATAAATGAATAGTTGTTAGCACTTACTAAAAAGGAACTTTTTCTATGTGAAAACTAAATTTTCTGAAAATGATTATTAATGAAAGTGAATAGTATACATTAACATCCTTTTGGTAGATTAGGCAAAAGAAAAATTTCTTTAAAATCACATTCTAAAAAGATGTATTAGTGACATTTAAATATGTTGCATGTGCTTTGTATGTAAAAATGCAATTCCTACAATGTGATTAACTGAATTGGTAAAATTTTTGTTTATTCTTTAAGTCAAGTGATTGTTTATTGATTTTGATAGCGAAAAAATTGATTTTTAGCTATTCTTGTTAGAAGAAGCAAAATTCCAGAATATTCTGAGATTTTGTTTTTCAAGAATAAGCTAGTTTTTAGGCAATGATTCCTTAAAATATTTAAACTCATAACTTTAAATCAGAACTTTGATTATAAAATACCTATTCTACTTTTTCCACTTTTTGTTTATGGGCCATTGAGTATATTTGGTACATTTCAGTATTTCCACCAGCGTATTTTCCTCTTTGAGGCAGAAATCTATTTAAGATTGCTAAGCAACATTGTCTCTTCTTTCACCATACTCAATTGTTGAAAAGGTGAAAGTTGTTGAATTTGTTTTAAAATGTGTGACTTAATTACCAATAGCTAGACTAAATATTTTAATACATGTCTTCATTGCTTGGTACCAACAAAATGCACCAAGCATATGTGGCATTAGATTTAGCTTAGAAGATTGCATTACTTGAGATTAATATATCATGCTGAAATTACACTGACAGGTGCTTTTTAAAGAATAATGTAAAATTCTTTGTTTAATAATTTCATAAGTTCTTTCCAGTAATTTAATTTTTTTCTCCAGTAATTATGGTTTAACAGCTTTGTAGAAACAAGAATGGGGGAAGAATGTGAAAAAAAAAAAGCAGAAATAGATATTTATAGAATAATAGTTTGCTTTTGTTTTGGAGGATCAAGTGACCTTTGAACAATTTGAGGTAAAACGAATATTGGAAATTGTTGGTTCTGCCAACAGTATTATTTATCCTTGGACGACACTGCACATTTTCCATGTACAAGTGGCTTCTTGTTAATAGTTTAGTCACATGACTTTCTTCAGTAAAGTTAGTCGTCGTATATAAAAAGCATCTATTTCACGGATTTAACTCCTCAGAACCATAATATTTTAAAATGTCCTTTATGTTATAATGGTTTTTGTTACAAAGTCAAGGAACATTTTTTTTTTGTATTTGGAGAAAGGTGAAACTATGTTAATTTCTAACCAATATCAGAATAGGTGCTTTCTTCACATTTCTCTTCCGTTACGATAAATGATTTTCAATCCATTGGCATTTATTAGTGTCACAGATAGTTCTTGGGACATGGGTACCTTTCTCCTTCATGCCTTTTTCCAGTTGTGATAGAGATGAACTTCTTCCAGTTATTGGCATAAACTTGTAGTCGCATTAGTGTTTACTCACTACTTTTGAGGTTCTATATTGGTACATGTCAAATTTTAAGTATTTGGTTTTTTGAACAGATTACTAGATTTACATTACATTTGCATATACATTTATGTCCTTCTTATGGTGCTACTGTTAAAAAGAGCTCTGTTTCTTAAGAACAGTAAAATAGTGTTTGTCTTAACCTTGAAAATGATCTCAGGTCTCTAACCCTGCTTCCTTCAAATCCCTTTGTTACAAGCTCAATAATGGATTGTGTAGATGTGTGTCTATTGTGGAGGTGATGTTATATTCAGAAACTCATAAAATGTTTAAATGGTAGTTGAAAAATTATGAGTGAAATGATAGCACAATGCAATTTGAGTTGATCTTTCTAATTGGTGCCATTTAAAAGTGAGTGTTATTAGTGTGTTTTAAGAAGGTTTTATAAACTCACTGAATTATTTGAGCAAGATTAGTAGATTTTCAGTATTAGCTATTCTCACATCAGATTTGTGTGAGAATCTCAGCTTACTAGTTGAAGTGATTGCTGTTGTGAATGAATGGGTGACTTGTTTTAGGGACCTTTTCAGTTCTGGATAATGATTGGCAATATCCGCTAAGCAGTGGTCCTCAGAGAGACCCGTGGTTTGCTTTGCTATTAACATGCTCTTTGACAGCTGGTCTTTACTAATCTCACCCTGGGTTTGAAACTTTTTCCTTAAAGCTTTGTAGTCGCATTATAATACGTTGCATCCTTTATTTTCTCACGGAAAAGAATTTAAACAAACTTTCTATTGCACTTGTTGAATATGTATTTCATAGTAACCACCATGAAGTTTGCAGCATTTAAGAAGATGAAGAAGCTAAGATAAAAGATACACATTCAAGGAGGCTTGGTTTCACAGTTGGCGCATAATCCTCTCTGCTGTCATTGGTACCCTAACCCTGTACCTACCAGAACAAAAGAAACTGAATTGAAAATTGTGGGAGCTGGGGAACATCGGTTGGCAGCACATCGCATGGCCCATAGGCGTTGTCAGGTCTCAGTTTGATGTCCTTTATTCTTTCTGACAGATGTGAGGTAAGGTCTATGAGGGGGAAGTCATTACTAGAGAGAGGGCAGTGTCAGATCAAAAGTAACCAGTGATCAAACAAGGTAAAGGGCTGTGGAAAATCGGCTCTCACTCTAGCCGCAACACCTGCCTGATCACTGAAGGGAATAGTCCTTATGTGTCAGGGCAAGTTGATTTTCTTTGATGTACAGTGAATTAGAAGTCGGAACAGAAGCTTAACTGGAGTACAGAAGATACTTGCTTACTGGTTCTTGGGCAATTTGAATGTTTAAATTTTTTGCTTTAATAAGCCAGAAGTTGTAGAAATCAATTTCTGTTAAATAAACTGTTAACACTTAGCTGTGTTTACTTTGTTTTTGCTGTGTTTACAGATAGTGCTAGTAAGAACACTTCCACACAGTATGCGACAGGCTTTAGTAGTCGCCAGACTTTTCACGTATCAAATCACAGTAGCTCACTTATCCCAGTCATAACTTTATTTAGATAGCTTGTGTAATTATAATGACTTATATAAAGTACACAGCACTGATTGAAGTCTTCTTTTGTTATAATTTATACATACAAAACATAAAAAGCGTATGTATTATATTCGCATTGTTAGTGTTTGAAAGCAGACTGCTGTTATCTATAAATATGCCTTTCGTTTGGCAAATTTGTAATTACAGAGTTGTACTTTGTGGAAAGTACTTGTCAATACTGGATGTATTTGACTTAAGCTGAATTTGCTTGTAAATCATTGTTAAATATGGTGTTGCTTAACCACTCATTTTCAAGTAGTTTGTCTTAGAAATTCTGTTTGGCATTGAATTAAATATTGTATTTTTATTTAGTTTATTCCATTTAGAAGAAAGTATCTGATAAAGTTCTGTCATATTTGAAGCCAGTACAGAAATTGTACTAATCCAAAAAGAATCATGCACTTTTGGAGTTTTGTTTTCTGATAGCCCATTCAATCTGGGCATTTCGAAAAAGAAACTGGAGTTTGCAAATATTTTAATATTAATGTCAGAATGGAATTTCTGTACATCACAGCTGATTTTCAGAGTCAGTAGCAACATAGAATTTTAGTAGTCAAAATCTTTGGTTCATGAAATACTGTCATAATTAATATATAGACAGACATGTATAAAACTGTGTCATTAAAAAATGATACAGTAGGGCCTGGTGCAGTAGCCTAGTGACTAAAGTCCTCGCCTTTCACATACCAGAATCTCTGATGGCTGGCGGTTCTAATCCCAGTGGCCCTACTTCCCAACTAGCTCCCTGGGAGAGCAGTTGAGGATGGCCCAAGGTCTTGGGACCTGCAACAGCCTGGGAGACCCAGAAGAAGCTCCTGGCTCCTGGTTCCTGGCTGCTGGTTTCGGATCGGCTCAGCTCTGATCATTGCAGTCACTTGGGGAGTGAACCAGTGAACAGAAGACCTTTCTCTCTGTCTCTCCTCCTCTCTGTATATCTTATTTTCCAATAAAAATAAATAAATCTTTTAAAAAAAGATGCAACAAACAGTGTAACAGTAATCAATAAACAAGTAACAAAGAAAAAAGTTGGCTTATCTAAAAAGACCTCTTTTTAAACTATAGAAAACCATCTATTGAAACCATTAGAACCTTTATCTAAACCATAAGCCAAATGTTACCAGTAACTTACCCTACCCATGCATTCCTTTCTCCTTTCAAATCTGAATGCCCTTACAACTAATCAAAAATAACCAGAAGTAGCCACTGTCCACTATCGATTTTTATTTTTTAATTCTTTCCCATTTTAATTATGAATATATGCATAAACAATAAGTTCAATATTTTTACTAATTTTCAGTAAAATAAAGTTGTAAAATGGTCATTGATGAATTGAGAAAACACTAGCAGGTGGTTTAATGTATTATTTACAAGGAGATTTGATTTAATAAATTAATCAATGGGGATATGTTTCTGAATTTAAACTTGATATAGTACATACCCAATTTTAAAGATACTCTGTACTGTATTTTCATATTGTTTTACATTTTAGATTGCAAATATGGTATCTGTATGTTGGTTTCTTGCACTTTGTATCTTCAGTCTATTAATCATGTTCGTAAGTATGAAGAGTGATGTCTTGTTTTCCCTTCCTTTCTCTTTGCCTCAGCTGTAGCAATGCCTGTGCCTTGCTGTGGAGGCTCTAAGAGTGGGATGAGAGGTAGAGTCAGGAATAGGTGTGGTGGTGAGTGAGTGTTGTGTTTATCAAATGACTTTTGTGTTTCACTTCAGTTTATTGATCACCTGCTTTGTACTGCCCTAATACAGTTTGGTGAAATGCTGTGTGAAATGTAACAGCGTTTCTGCAGAGGACAGGTTGTGTATATGATAATGAGCACATAAAATAGCATTGTCAAATGACACCATGGTCATCATGCTTTTTAAAAAATATATACCTGAGTTGTTGGAACAACCGCATAATCTCCTAATGCAGACATCGGAGAGTACATAAAATTTATACAAACTTGACGGGTTCATTTAATGTGATTTCTTGTTGCAGTCAAGATATAGCCAATGTGAGATGTGTAAGATTGTTGCTGGCATAACACAGGGTACTGCTTTGTAAGTAGGAGTGTAGTTTTAAGAAGCGAGAAAGTGCAGTAAGTTAAAAAATCAGTTAGGTAATCTTTGTGATCAGGTTTTATGCACTGTACATAATTGCATGTGTGACACTTTTATGCAGCTGATGACAGCACTGTGGACTTGTTTCTACCAACATCATCACAAACACAGGAGTAGGGGGTTTGTTGTGACTGATGGCAAGTACAGTTGGCCTAGAGTATTTAGGGTTGAGAAAGTTGATACAAATACATTGGAATGTTGTATTTTTTTTAAAATGATCTATTTATTTTTATTGAAAAGTGAGATTTACAGAGAGAAGGAGTGACAGAAAGATCTTCTGTCCATGATTTACACCCTAAGTAGCTGCAGTGGCTGGTGCTGCACTGATCTGAAGCCAGGAGCCAGTATCCTCCTCCAGGTCTCCCATGTGGGTGCAGGGTCCCACGATGTTGGTCCATCCCAAACTGCTTCCCCAGGCCACAAGCAGAGAGCTGGATGGGAAGCGGGGCTGCTGGGAACAGAACTGGCACCCTCATGGGACCCTGGCACGCCTGAAGCGAGGATCCCAGCCTCCGGGCCACCATGCTGGACCCCCTTGTATGGATTTTAAAAAATTTTGAGCAGTTTTCTCAGTGTAGTCTACTCCTTTGGCTAATTTAATGGAAATAAAATGATCACATGATCTATAACAGTAATTGAGTGATGATCATTTTGGAGAATAGAATATTTGAGAGATATTTGGAAGACATAAAACTAAGAGTGTGTGGCATATTTTGGAAGCCTGTATTAGAGCTTGGAAACTGATATGGTTCTGGAAAATATATTCTCTTTGGCTACTTTATAGTTATTAGCTACAATGAACCAGCATTTTTTTCTTGTTTTTTTTTTTTTTAAAGATCTATTTATTTTTATTTGACAGGCAGATTTGGAGAGAGGAGAGACTGAGAGAGATTAATTCCTTCTGTCAGTTCACTCCCAAATGGCCTTCATGGCTAGTGCTGAGCTGATCTGAATCTGGGAGCCAGGAACTTCCTGTGGGTCTAAAACGCGGGTACAGGGTCCCAGGGACTTGAGCCAACCTCTGTAGCTTGGCCAGGTCATAAGCAGGGAGCTTAATTGGAAGTAGAGCAGCTGGGAAACTATCCAGTGCCCACGGGGGATCCTGGTCCTGCAGGTGGAAGATGAGCATACTACGCTGCCACACTAGCTTCAAGTTCTCATTTCTTCTTTACCTGATCTCCTGCCAGACACTCATTGATTGCTTAAGAATTTATTGGGTACAAACCAAATAGGAGTCACTGGAATTCCAAATTATTTTTCCATCAATATCATGCCCGTTCGCTTCATAGTAATTTTTAACAAGAGTAACTTGTTTATGTCATATTTGCCTAAGTGCTTGCTGTTGAAGACAGTAATATATCCCTGTCAGGACTGTTTCTGGGGAGCCTGAACCCTTATGTTGTCATGTATTAAATTGTATATTTTAACAGAAAGATTTTGAAAATCATGAAATTTGCATAATGTCTAATTTATTAATGATGATAACCTCTAAGTTACTTTGCCTTAATTCCTAATTAACATGAAGTCTTTTGAAGGTTAAAAGTAACAATAAACATTTAATAATAAAAATGTGATGTAAAACTCCTTACAGTGACTTATTATGACAGCTTTTTTTTTTTTTTTTAAATCAAGATGCCTTGCTTTTAAACTTATTTGAACTATAGTAGTGCTTGGGTTCTACAGGCTTAGTAATACTTGAAAATTAAACATAATGAATGAAGTTTTGAAATTGTTCCATTGGGTTGTCTTTTTGTTGTTAAGTTATGGTTAAGGACATGGTCGCCTCTATCTTGTGGAGTCTTCATTCATGAGAACCCCTAGTTAACCAGCCTCCCTCACGTCAGTACTTGGAGAGCTCCACGTGGAGCAAGCGGAAGTTACCTATGATGCATACATTTCCTTTCCTCTTTACTTTGACATTTTGAACATAAGAAACAACAAATAGTAATCCATTTAGGGCAGGGAGTTTAGGAATTCTATCTTTAAGATAACATTTTTGAGAAGCTGCTTTCTTTTAACCTTTTTATTTCTATTCATTTTCCTTCTGTGGGATATATTTTAAAAAATAAGGGCCTCATTGCCTTTTTGGAAAGAGACTATACCTAAATACAAACAAATACTTAAATACATACAAACCCAATCACAAGTGCTAAGTACCTATATAGGGACACTTAAATTTAAAATCTTTAAAAAAATTTTATTTGGTAAAGATTTATTTTTATTGCAAGGGCAGATATGCAGAGAGGAGGAGAGACAGGGAGGAAGATCTTCTGTCTGATGATTCACTCTCAAGCAGCCTCAATGGCTGGAGCTGAGCCAATCCTAAGTCAGGAGCCAGGAGCCTCTTCCGGGTCTCCCGCACAGGTACAGGGTCCCAAGGTTTTGGGCTGTCCTCGACTGCTTTCCTAGGCCACAAGGAGGGAGCTGGCTGGGAAGTGGAGCTGGCTGGGAAGTGGGGCTGCCGGGATTAGAACAGCATCCTTATGGGATCCTGGCATATGCATGGCGAGGACTTTAGTGCTAGACTACTGCGCTGGGCCCTTTTAAAACTTTTTAAATCTATTTTTATTTATTTGTAAGACACAATAACACAGAGTTCCTTTATCCACTCATTCACTCCCCAAATATTTACAGCAGCGAAAACAGTCTAATTCCAATAGTCAGGAATTAAGTTCATGTCTCCCATGTGAGTGACAAGGGTACCAGGGAGTTGAGCCTTCTCTTGGTGTCTATCAGAGTGTACGTTAGCAGGAAACTGGAGTGGGAGACAGAACTGAGAGTCAAATCTAGGCAGTTCATTATAGTCTGAGCATCAGAAGTGGTATCTATTCCTCCTCAGTACCTGTCCAGCCCAAACCTTCTTTGTGGGTGCAGACAATTGGTATATAATGGAAGTACCTTGGAACTTGAATTTTTTTTTTTCCATGATGAAAAAAATATGACTTCCAAAGCTTCATAATCAGGAACTAGTGACACATGCCACCTTTGCTCTGTCATTGTCTGATCTCCTGATCAGACTTTGACCATATCAGTGGAGTAGCGTTAATTCACAGCTTCCTTGAGCTGTTGTTTGTTGGCATTGACATCCACAATGAACATGAGTGTGTCGTTGTCTTCTGTCTTCTACAAAGCTGACCAACTTGACGATGGTGTGGTGATCAGACTTGCTTCTCCTGAGAGCACTCCGCAGAGGCTATTTGGGCTGACGCTGGAGGCATCACGTTTTGGCCTCCTGAACATGGGTGATGTGCGGGGTTTTTTCTTTTTTTTATTTTTAAACTTGTGACTTCCAGGACTGCTTTCTTGGCTTTCAGAGTTTTTGCTTAGCCTTTGATGATGCTTTTGGGAAGGGCAAGGAGCTTCCTTCTTCACCTGCAACGCCATCTTGGTGAAAATTGGAGTTGAATTATAAAATCTGTGCGGAGATAATGATCTCTGTCTTTAAGTGAATAGCTTTCTGGAAAGTGCCAGTCAGGTCGTTTCCTCATTTCTAACATGAGAATATTACTGTAGAATTAACAGATACTTTAGGTCAAAGTGTAAAACACATGTCGAGTAATCAGTTTAAAAGTCTTTCTCTAGTCAGTTATCTGTCCAGCTGTTGACAGATACTGAGAGTTATCCGTTACTTAAACAAATACATTAGGGAGAATTCTGCAATATACCGAAAAACATAAAGAGGCCGCAAAAACCCTGTTCTCATAAAATACAATGTGCGGTTATAAAATTCCTAGTAGAATTGAAAAATAAAAAATGAAGAGTAAAAACCTTCTGCTAATCCCTCTGCTGATTATTTTCAGAAAAGCCTTTATAAAATACTCTTAAAATTGTATCACAACTTTGATATATATGTTATTTTCCATATAGTAGCATACAATAATAGCCACAAATAACAAACAGTAATAGTCATGAATTTCAGTGGATTTCTCTCAGGAGGATACATATTCATGTGTGTTCCTTTGATGTTTTCTTGTTATTTTGAAAATGTTAAGAATTTCTTCACATGCTACCCTTAATTTCCATCCTTTGTGTTTTGCTTTTACGTTATTGAGTATTTCTGCTGCTGTAATTTTTTGAGATCGTCAAATGATTTAATGCCTAGAGGTAGAGAGAAAGGTAAATAATTACATCTAAGGAGTTTTAAAAATGGCTGAACCCGGGGCTGGACATCTGGCCCAGCACTGAAGACTTGGCTCTGGATGCTTGCCTCTGATGTCTGGATGCTTGCCTCTGGTGCCTGGGGTGGGGTGCTAGCTCATTTTTCTGGTAGTGCAGATGCTCTGCTGTTGGATCTCTGCTGCTCTCATGGGAGACCTGAATCGACTTCCCTGCTCCCAGGGTTGGCTGTCACAGCTGTTTGGAGAGTGAACCAGGAAGTGGGAATGGAGTACTCTCTGTCTCTCAAATAGAATTTGTATATACACGCATGCATGTATAAATTGAACTCTCTATACTTAGATGAAATTGATTTTCTGTATTCAGTCATGTAATTAGTGAGTGCATTTTTCTCATGAGAAGTAATATTTTCCTTTGGTAAAGGCTGGAAAAAGACACATAATGATAGGCATATCTTGATACTTAACTCTCTCCAAGAGGGTGTGGAATGATAATTAATTTGACAGATACAGATTCTAACTTCATTGTTACCACCATTCCTTAATCAATGATTAGATATCCTAGAGCCTTTTTTTTTT